TTCCTGAGGCATGCTGGTTGGTCTAAAAAAAGCTTTCTCTGATAACATGTTGAGGTTAATCCAAGAACTCTGTTTGCTTAGCTGCTTTCTTTCCCACACTAAGGAGGTACAGAGGAGGTTGAAGAAAGCTGGGCTTAAATTTATAAGTCCTGTAACCAGCATTAATTGAGGAAGAAACTTGGAAAGTCACCTTCAGACATTAGCTTCCTACACTGGGACAGAAAATAAAAGAGTCACAGTCTTTTTGTTCCTATAGATAGCCACTCTCCAAAATCCAGTGATTGTTGCCCTCATTTCCTTTTATCCATTAAAATTTTCCTTCAGGATGCACAAATCCACCCAACAGAAAACCTAGCACATGAATGGGGATGGTCAGCTCTGATAAGGATAAGAGAGAACTGGCAGTTGGAGCTCAGGATTCTTTCTGGGAGGGGGGGAGGTCAATGAACTTCATTCTTTATGAGCCAGAGAGTAGAAGGAGAAAGAATGGCCTCACTCCCCTCTGGCCTCCATCCGCCAAAGGCCTGACCTTGGCGCGACGGGCTGGAGAGCGCTGGACAGCGGCAGTTGCCCCAGGACAAGCGATAGGTGTGATGGGCGGTCCCGATGTCCGCGAGGGAAGAAGCGGCGAGGAGGCTCCGCACCCAGCCCAGTCCAGCCAAGGCATGGCAAGCGAGACAGCAGCCCCACATGCATCCCCGAGCACAAGCGGGCCCCCGCCCTGCCAGGCAAGCAGAGCTGTGGCATCTGCGGCAGAAGAGTGCAGGCGGGCAGCGGAAGGCACGAGGAGCCACAATCCCAGCACAGCCCCTCCCCACTCTCCTCCTCCCCCCTGGAAGAGCTGTGGGGCTCAGGAACCTCCCCCTGTGCCCCCCACCCCAGGGAAGAAAACCATCATGAGACACTCTTCTGTTTTAACTTTTTTTCCTTGTTGCTTTTTGGAGTTTTCATCCTGCTTTCGTGAGATGGCAGTATTTGGGAAGGGGCGTAGCTGCCCCCTTCCCCCCAAGCCATCAGTTGAGCAAGACGCCCTCCTGCCCATTGTCTCACCCGCCAGAGAACCCCTGGATCTCCCCCAACCCTGCCAGCCCCCACAGACATTCCTCTCCAGGAGCAACATCGAACTGACCACACTCACCCATTCTGCCATGACCACCATAGTCATGCACACCCAGAGGGCCATACCATCCCAGCGGGCCACGCCCATATGGCACCCAGTGATACATAAGTGGGTTTTGGGTTGCAGTTTGGGCCCTCGGTCTCTAAAAGGTTTGCCACCACTGGACTAGAAGATGTGGGAGTGCTGCTCAAATCGCTTATTGTTTTGAAATTCCTTTTTCTCCAATCTCTCCACTCTCCAAGGAGGAGGAGAAAAAAAAAAGCAAATGATTTCTGTAGGCAATCTCTGCTGTGCCTGATCCTTTCTGCTAGTGGTGTGATCACATTGCTTTTAATGTGTAGAAGTTTAATAGCTTACTCTCTTAAAATCCCTCTCCAATCTCTCTGCTGGGACGAGGAGGAAAGAGTTAGGCAAAGGAGAGACTGCCTGCAGAAATTGCTTACTTACCTCCCCCTGCCCTGCAAAGTGGAGAGATTGGGGAAGAAAATATTTCAAGCTGTTTGCATAGAGTACTCAAGGCTCCCTACCCCAGGCTGTTAGTGTAATTGCACTGCTTTTGATGTGTAGAAGAGCAAATAGCTCGGCCTTATTTACAATCCCTTTCTCTCCAATCTTTCTGTTCTGCAACAAAAAAAGAAAAAAATCCACATATCTGGCATAGGACAACTCATACTGCCTGCAGTGGTGATCTCCTGACTGAGGGACATTGCAAAAGTTGTAAATGGGCCATAAAATGATGTTTTTCAGCACTATTGTAACTTCAAACGTTATTGAATGAATGGTTGATAAATGAGGATTACCTGTAAAGCCTTTGGGTCAGAGGTCCCCAACCTTTTAGACACCAGGGGAGAGAGGTTTTTTTACGGACTGGACGGTGCATGGTTTTGTGTGCTGCCTCCATCCCACAGATGGGGCTTTGTTTGTTTGTGCAGACCAGTTGCTGGCATGCCATGGCTGGTACTGGTTCACGGACTGGGGATTGGGGACCCCTACTTTAGGTAATGAATCAGCATTCAGAGAGCAGCAGTTAATGAAAATTCATTTTGTGTCATCAGCATCACCACCACCATCCCTAGAGAGCTACCTCAAATGCTTTAAAAGGATTTGGATTAAATGAACTCTGAGTTTCTTCCAATTGTCTGATTGTCACTATTATGAAATATGGTATCTTGAGTAAAAAGTGCTCTGTTACCAAAGAAATAGTAATATTATTTTTCTATTAATACACTAGAATAGGAGCTTTATTTTCATTACAACACCACTGAATAGTGCCGGATATCCATATAAAGAGAGGGAACTAGCAGTTTAGTGTAGTGGTTAAGGTGATGGCTTAGAAATGGGAGACTATAAGTTCTAACCCAGTCATAGGCATGAAATCCAGTCAAATACCTTGGGCCAGACACTCTCAGCCCAACCCACTCACAGGGTTGTTGTTGTAGGGAGAGTAGGAAAAGGGAGTATTATGTATGTTCACCACCTTGAGTTACTTATAAAATAAGAATGGTGGGATAAAAATCAAATAAATAAATAAAATGAATATATGTCTATCACAATATTCTCTTTTAAACATTTGTTTCTGTCCTTCCTGGTATGTGAGATGACACGTGGAGGGCTTCTGGCGCTGATTAATGCTTTTCTGTGGGAAGGGTTGACACCTCAGGCTTTTAAAGGGTTTGTGGTCTGCCCTCTTTTTTAAGAAGCCATCACTAGACTCCACCATATTGGATAATCTTCATCCTTTTTTTTCTTTTAATAACCATATAATCCCTTAATTTGGGTATAGTCGGGGCGACTGGGTAAAGCTGAGCGTTTACTGGCCGGGTGCCCTGCCTGACACCTATGTGGAGTTCACAGCAGATATTGTCTCTTTGTGTTCTGAGAGAAAAACATTCGCTGCTATTTAGGATTGAACTTGAAATATATGCCATAGAAAATTGCTGCTTCAGACATTTATCCATTCAAGACAGGAGAATAATTTAAAACTGTTGGATAACCCATATATTTCTGCCTTAAACTTTAGTTGGGAAACTGACCAGGGGCCTATTAATTATTTAATGATGCATTTTCAAAGTATTTCTTTCTTTTTCTCTCTCTCTCTCTCATGAATAGCTCAGCACCTTGAGAACAGTCTTTCCTCTACTTTCACTTTTAGGCCAACTCATGAGGTAACTTTTTATATGATACCTTTATGATATTACTTGCATATCTTCTCCAGCCCACAAGCAAAAAGAGAAAGGTGCTCATCTCTGCTCTAATTGAAATCTGATTACTTATTTATATATCTTTGCTCTTTAGGCACAACATTCTGTAGGGCTAAGGCTTCTCTTCTTGTACTCTATAAAATGTCATGCACAATGATGATACTATGTCAATAAATGGTAACATCACCAACTTGATAAACTGGAAAAACCAATTGGGAAATAAACTGGGTTTGCCAACAAAATCAATACACTTCTGGAACATTAAGCATAACCCTCCTCTAGGTAATTGGCTAAATCATTTTAACTTTGGAGCACTACTAAAATCTATTGCAGGAGAGAACCTCAAAGTGTGAAGAGAAGAAAATACACACAGAATCCCACACCAGTCTCCACATATTCAGGAGGCAACTAAACTCACATTAGTTCAGCTGGGTATAAAATATTCTGAAACAGGTAAAATCTTATGAAACTCAATTGATTTCCTTCATGTGATACAGTAACATGAAATTAATGTTAGGGAGAAATATGAACTCTGGCCCAGAGAAAACAGGCAAAAGGCATTTTAATGTCATCCTGTCAGAAAGACAAGGGGCAACCTGACCTCTTACCTCACTAGTTAAATAAATTTGATAATAGAAGCAAGGATTTCTGTGCTGAAAAAGTAACCTATTAGAATAAACTTAAACAAATTGCTTGTTTGAATTTAAAAACAAGAGCCTGCTTTTATTTATTTTATACAGTTTATCTACATTTCACTTCAGTGAGACTCCATGTGGTGTACAACAGTAAAAAAAATAACAGTGCATGATCACATAAAATAACAGTATTGAAATAAAGTTTACATCTCTCAATTCATACTGAGTTCCTTCAATTAAATATTTAAAGCAGTATTTGTTGCAGCAAGATTAGACTCTCTGATGACTTGTTTTAAAATTATGCTTGCTTTAGGAGCTTGCTGTTTCATCTTAAAGTTGCTGCACAGAAGACAGTTTGCAATGTAAGATTAAAAAATACATATAAAACTAAAGAAATCAGTGGGAATTAGCAAAGAAAAAATGGAAAAACATAGGATCATCGTCAAAAAAACATAGGAAATGATAGAAGTTTGATTTGGATCACATGTAATTGAATATGACATTAGACTGTCATAAACCTTTTTAGCTGAAAGTGGTTACAGAAAAGCTCCCCCCCCCGCTCGCCAAAAAAAAAAAAAAAAAAATCTAGAGCCTTTCAAATGCATTGGGCTGTTACTTTCATAATGCCCATTGGTGTGCTGGCTGAACTATTACGGAAATTTTAGTGCAACCCATCTGGAGGACATAAAGGAAGGCAAAAATTCTTGTACCATCCAAATGCATGCACACTTACTGTACTAAATTCTATCAACCTTATATTCAAATGCAGAGTAGAACATACTCTTAAGAGCTTGAGCACATGTACAATTATTTAGATTTAAATCCGAATTAATTTTAGAAGCTTAATCCCCAGGGTACATGCACAGCATCCAACCAAATGCAACTCTGAGCAAGGAGACTTCAAGATCAGATAAGATGCCATTGTTTACTTGTCATTGGGCTGTGTGTGGGCAAAAAAACCCCACACCAACCCCACATATGGTCAAACTTCTTAGGCAACCAAATGCAGCAAAGCAGATGCCCCAGAATTCCTGTTCACCTTACCTGAATATAATCCAAGACCATGCCTGCCAGGACCATGCCCATGCCTGCCAGCAGGTAAGGCAGGAGCACCTGGAGGCCAATCGCCAAGGCTGATTCCTTCTGTAGTTTTGCCATGGCCACTTTTGTCTCGGGAGGCTGCTTCTGAGGCAGGAACAAAGGGCCATCCTCTGTGCTCTGGCTGCCAAGTTTGCTCTCTTTGTGTTTACTCTTGCTCTTTGCTTTCTGCCTGGATCGCTCTCCATTCCTGGTTCGACCTTCTTTCCGATGCTGCCGAGCTTCTTCGCCTTTCATGTTGATTTTTCCCATTCAGGAGTCTTTTGAGGAATGGATATGACGAGGCCCAGGACAATTAACCAATCGGACAATAAGCAAGAGGAAGAAAGCGGTAAGACAGAACATCCTATCATAATATTTAAAAAGAGCATCCTGTTCATATTCTGTTCATATTAGTAAAGTTGGAAGGGACCTTGGAGGTCATCTAGTCCAACCCCCTGCTCGGGCAGGAAACCCTACACCATTTCGGACAAGTGGCTGTCCAGTCTCTTCTTAAAAACTTCCAGTGTTGGAGCATTTACTGCTTCTGGAGGCAAGCTGTTCCACTGATTAATTGTTCTCACCGTTCTTTTTCTTTTGAAAACCACCACTTCTTTTCCAAACTATGCCAGCCGCTGCAGCTCTTCCTAGGGATACACATTTCACCAAAGACCTACACAATCTGCCCACCTATTGATGCAATGGCAGCTGAATACTTCTTGTCAAGAGCCTCTGAGCTTCTCAGAGAAACAATGGCCCATTCCCCTGCTGACTAATAAAAGCAATGCACATGTTACCTAATATATACAGCCTACCCAAATCCAGAAATCTGAATTTCTAAGCTATTTATGTGGGACAGATGGATTTCAGTGAAATGAATGCATCTGCGAAAATCAAAGCTATTTCTTGGGCGCCAAAGTCATGTCAATTTATTTTTCCAGTCTCTCAAGTCAATGCCCTTCAGCTTGTTGGATCCAAATTCCCATACTGTCTGGGCATAATTGGAGATAATAATAATAATAATAATAATAATAATAATAATAATAATAATAAAGTTGGAAGGGACCTTGGAGGTCATCTAGTCCAACCCCCTGCTCAGGCAGGAAACCCTATACCATTTCAGACAAATGGCTGTCTAGTCTCTTCTTAAAAACTTCCAGTGTTGGAGCATTCACCACGCCTGGAGGCCGGTTGTTCCACTGGTTAATTGTTCTAACTGTCAGGAAGTTTCTCCTTAGTTCTAAGTTGCTTTTCTCCTTGATTAGTTTCCATCTATTGCTTCTTGTCCTGCCTTCAGGTGCTTTGGATAATAGCTTGACACCCTCTTCTTTGTGGCAGACCCTGAGATACTGGAACACTGCTGTCATGTCCCCCCTCGTCCTTTTCTTCATTAAACTAGACATACCCAATTCCAGCAACCGTTCCTTGTATGCTTCAGCCTCCAGTCCCCTAATCATCTTTGTTGCTCTATACTCCTTCTAGAGTCTCAACATCTTTTTTACATTGTGGTGACCAAAACTGGATGCAGTATTCCAAGTGTGGCCTTACCAAGGCATTGTAAAGTGGTATTAATACTTTCTGTGATCTTGATTCTATCCGTCTGTTAATGCACCCCAGCATTGTGTTGGCCTTTTTGGCAGCTGCAGCACACTGCTGGCTCCTATTTAAGTGATTGTCCACTAGGACTCCGAGGTCCTTCTCACATTACTACTATTGAGCAAGGTACCCCCTATACTATACCTGTACATTTGGTTTTTCTTGCCTAAATTCAGAATAAAGAGTTGGAACGGACCTTGGAGGTCTTCTAATCCACCCCCCCCCCTGGAATCCAACCATTCAAGACAAATGGTTGTCCAATCTTTTTTGAAAACCCTCCAGTGAAGGCACAGCCACAACTTCTAGAGGCATGCCACTCCACTGAGTGTTCTCACTGTTAGGAAAGTTCTCCTTAGTTCTAGATTGGATCACTTCTTGATAAGTTAACTCAGTTAACTTAGAGGGCAATATACTGGGAAATCTGCGTCTATTCACCTCTTAGATCAGGCCACCAGGAATCAGTTTTGTGGAGAGAGGTTTTTCTGCGGACAGGAGCGGGTGAAGTTTCGAATCCTGTGTGCATCCCACAGATGGGGCTTTGCTTCTTTGCGCAGCCCAGTTTCTGACATGCTGCGGACCTGTGCTGGTTGGTCTTAGATCCCGTTTCCCCCCCAACAATATGCAGCTTCAGGTTCAAAAGTATCTATCTTTCTCAATAACTGTCAGGGGTAGGCAACCTTGGCTCTTTTATGACTCGTGGACTTCAACTCCCAGAATTCCTGAACCAGCATATCTGGCTCAGGAATTCTGGGAGTTGAAGTCCACGAGTCATAAAAGAGTCAAGTTTGCCTATCCCTGACATAGGTCCTACTGCACCATTTCTATAGGTTTCCCATTCCTGTTGCTGATAGGCAATCATTGCATTTCTCATTGCTGTTTTGTGAATAATATTTTTGAATGTGGAGAGTGACAGATCATAGCCGGGACATTCTGAAGGAGGGAAATACATTCCTTTCTGAGGCACTTTAAAGTTGTGGGAAACCAGCAGGTTTGCTGGAGTGGACTGATACTAGCTTAATGTGAGACATCTCCAAGCGATGAAAGATTTGATGAAACAATGTCACTTTCAATCTTCCAAACTGCCAATTAAATCAAAAAGTACATCAAACCAAGTCATCTTAGTAACCAAAACTAACAGCCTATCAGGATTCCTTCAATACTGGCAACAGACTTCTGATTTAGGATCGAGACCATCAGATTTCTAAGACTGATTTATCTTTTGGTGTCAGAAAGGGTGAAATTGTTTCTGCAACTCCAAATCTCCCCTCATAGGGAATGACAGCAACCAGGGCAAGGAATTGCATAGGATGAAGTAGAAGTGATACGACTGACTGCCTGATCCCTTTCCATCATCTCCTAATTTCAGGTTCCTTCGTGATACTAAAATAACATAAAAAGCACCTTATAAATAATGATCTGCAAGAAAAGAGTTATCTTTCTCATCTTGCAACTTCATCATAGAAGAACACAACCGGACCGAGATGAACGGAAAGGCCAGGAGACTCCAAACGGAGCCATCAGGTTTAAAAGGAAGCATCTGCTCTCGAGGGACCTTTCCACAAAGCCCGGGAGGAGAAAAGCGCCCCTCGCGATCCCTGGTCACTTACCCGGCGCCTTTGTCTTTTCTCGCCAGAGTCTACCGCCCCCTGCGGCCCAAAGGAGGCACAGCGCGCATCTGGAGCTCAGCCAAATAAGGACAGACCGCGCGCAAATGGTAAGGCGTGGCCTCATCCGCATCTGGAACCGTGGGTTCTCCGGCGCCCTGGATCTCGCCCGGTCGCCTTTGTCGAGATAACCCGTCGACCGAGGCGAGCGGAAAAGGAAGCGCCGAGCCAGAGGGGGAGGGAAGGAGGAGGCAAGAGAATGGGGGGAAGCCCGCAGGCAGGGGCGGAGGGATAGAGAGGGAGTTGCTCCTCCGCCGATGCAGCGGGGCGACCCTTAGGCGTTTCTCAGCCGGAGGGCCTGCCCGGAGCCTTTTAGGGAAGCGGCCGAAGTTTGCTCAGCCGCTGCGGCCTCCTTCCGGCAAAGCTACAATTGCCGCTCCACTTGCAATGCAATCGGTTTGATTTCCTGGCATAACCAGGAAGTGGAGATAATCGGTGATTACGGGGTGGAGAGGAGAAGACTCCGCCCGTACTGATAGGTTTACATTAGCATTCCCCAACCTGGTGCCCTCCAGATGTATTTGACTAGGGTGCCGCATCTGGGCTGGGAATTCTTTGCTGCCTTCCAACGGCCACTCGAAGATTTGCTACGCCGTGTTTTGACTTTAAACTCTCAGGAATGTGGTGCAGTTGGGAAGGTTGGTGTTAAGTTTCTCTCCACCCCCGGGGCAGAAGCCATATAGCAGGATCCGATCGGGATCGGTCACCGGGACCAGAGGTTTTGTCTTCCGAGCTTTTGGATTCGTTCTGGAGCTTATCCTCAGGGAACTTCTCTGAGTGCTTTGGGCTGTTCTGTCTGTGGTATTTAACCCAAAGCACACAGAGAAGTTCCCTGGGGATGGGCTCCATAACGAGTCCGAAAGCTCGGGAGACAAAATCTCTGCTCCCGGTGACCAACCGAGATTGGACACTGCAACATTATCTTGGGACACGTATATTCTTCATTCGTGGAAGCGATGGAGAATACATTACTTGGACTTTGCTGGAAATCCCACTAAAAATTGATGCGATAATAATCGGTCTTTGGAGACAAAATTTCTGAGAATGAAACCTTTCCAGTACAAATATGAATTACATTTTTAAAAACTTTTTTTTTAAAAAAAGAAAACTTGCTCTGAGAACAGCAACTGTGAGAGGGAGCTTGGAGGCCTAGTGGACAATCACTTGACCATGAGCCAGCAGTGTGCAGCAGAAGCCAAAAAAGCGAATACAATCCTGGGTTGTATAAACAGAGGCATAGAATCAACATCACGTGAAGTGTTAGTACCATTTTATAATGAGATCACACCTGGAATACTACAGCCTATTTTGGTCACCATACTACAAAAAAGATCTTGAGAGTTTGGAAAAAATTCAGAGAAGAGCAACTAAGATGATTCAAGGCCTGGAAACTAAAACATACAAAGAACGGCTGCAGGACTTGAGTTTGGCTAGTCCAGTGGTTCTCAACCTTTTTAATGCCGCGACCCCCAACCGGCCGTAAGTCAAGGACTACTCAACCGGTCGTAAGTCGAGGACTACTCAACTGGTGCAGCACCGTTTGCAGAATGGGACTTTTGGGCTCAGCAGGGCAGAGACAGCCTGGACAATTCCTATTGGCTTTTGAAAGCCAATAGAATTAGACTCTATTCAAGAGAGTCTATTCTATTGGCTTTCAAAAGCCAATAGAATAAAAGGCAGTAGCACAGCTAAGGAAAAGGGGGGGGGGAATGGCGGACTGTGTTGTTTGGCGACCCCTGTGAAATGGTCGTTCGACCCCAAATGGGGTCCCGACCCACAGGTTGAGAACCACTGGGCTAGTCTAAAGAAAGGATAGCAGTGTTCCAGTATTTGAGAGGCTTCCACAAAGAAGAGGGCATCATATTATTCTCCAAAATACCAGAGGGCAAGACAAGAAACAATGGTTGGAAACTGACCAAAGAGAGAAGCAACCTGGAATTAAGGAAAAACTTCCTAACAGTGAGGACAATTAACCAGTGGAACAGCTTGCCTTCAGAAATCGTGGGCGCTCCATCACTGGAGATTTTTAAGGAGAGGCTAGATAGTCACTGAAATGGTATAGGTTCTCCTGCTTGAGCAGGGGGCTGGACTAGAATATCTCCAGGATCCCTTTCAGATTCTATTCTGTTCTGTTCTGTTCTGTTCTATGCTATTCTATTCTATTCGTCTCCAAAGCAAGAAATAGATATTAGATAAAGGAAAACATAGTTTCCTATTGAAAATCAGGGTATATTGATGAAAGACTGTCAAAGACAAAGTGATTCCAAATGTCATTTGGATTTTTCTTTTTCCCTTTTCAAGTGAGATGAGATGGAGATATATGCAGAATGAGTACATGGGACAGAATGGGAAACTTCTTTATGATTTATCAGTCATGACATTGACTATGCTAAAATCTAGCCAAGTTTCTTCTTCTCCTGTATGCATATTTATCTATTGGAGACCATTCTCACAAACAGAATTGTATTCTTTCAGTTGTACATTATTATGAAGGAAAAGCATGCAGTTCATGCCAAAGAAGGAACCTTTAGTGAATGAAAGCTAAAATAACATCATTGCTGAGTTATTGGGTTTTTTTTTTAATCTCAAGCATCAAGCAATCACAGTTATTGGTAATTGCAAATTGTTTCTAGAAAAATAAAAACAATTTTATAGAAGTTTGTGTAATGATTTTATCTCTACTGTTTAGTCATCCCAAGAGTTAGGATTCCTTTGAGAGCTGGTCAGAGATTCCCTCAGAGGCTTGGCAATTTTTTTCCCTTGGGAAAGAAAATGAGCACATGGAAGTGGCTTCACTGGGAATAGGGGCACCATTTTCAAGTAGTCATCGACTTACATCCACAATTGGGACCAGGATTTCCATGGTTAAACAAGGTGGTTGTCTCATCTGATTTTACAACTAGTTTTTTTTTATCACAATTGCTAAATGAAACACTGCAGCTGCTAAGTTATCATGTAATTATTAAGCAAATCTGTCTCTCCCCCCCCCAATTGATTTTGCTTGTTGGAAGCTGGCTGGGAAGGTCAAAAAATGCTGGTTGCCAAGCACCCAAATTTTGATCATGGGGATGCTGCAATGATCATAAATGCAAGGACTGGTTGAAAGTAATTTTTTTTCAGTGCTGTTGGCATTTCAAACGGTCACTACATGAATGGTTGTAAGTTGAGGACTGCCTGTAATGTGTGAATGGAAAGTGTGTGAGAGAGAGCACTAGAAGAAAAATGGTACAGGATGATTTTTTTGGGTCAAGGGAATAGGCACCATCTGCAGCTGATGTGCAACCCCTGAAATGATTGTACACAGCTAGCACTGAGCAGATACTGAGAAGGCTCTCCCCATGTACTGTAGCCTACATCCCATTTAGGAAGTCCATGTCTATTGTTTTAGGCCAGGCCACATGTATCCACTGAACAACACAGAATATCAAATCAACTATTTGCCCAAGACGGGACTGTAACTCAACAGTCTCCTGATTTCTAGTCTGTTGCCGTAATCGCTATACCTTACTGGCTATCTAATTCAGAATCTATCTTGGCTAAATAACCACAGTTTGCAACCATGGCTTTACCTTGTCTAAAATATCTACAAAGACTGTAGTAATATAAGTTGGTTTGAAACCCTCGAGCAGAAATGGTAACTTCTTTGGCTGATCTTAAAACCAACCCCCCACTTTTTTAGAAAGAAAAGAAAAGGAAAGAAAGAAAAGGAAGGAAGAAGAGAGAAAGAAAGGAAGGAAGGAGAGAAAAAGGAAGGAGAGAAAGAAAGAAAAAGAAAAGAAATAGAAATTCTGAGGGATATGACTTTGAAATTCTGAAATTCTGATGAATTGTATTACTTCACACAACAGCTGCCACTAAGCCAATCGCTCACAATATAGCTATGTTTGTTGCTGTAAATAATGCTCCAATCAAACAAACAATGCTTGTAACCTCAAAGGAAGTCATTTAGCAGAACTGCTCCATCTGGGAAAAATCCCTTCTGGTGAAGATATATTGCTTAATACCTGTAGTAATAGTTTTCCTTTCCTTCCAGGACACACTGTGTTTGAAAGATGTTGGGATATTGCGTCTTCTATTAAAATTAAGTTGAAAGAATGAATGGATACTTAAAATCTTAATATTCACAATTCTGTCACAATTTACAGAGAACGAAAATCTTCCCCAATGAGTGAATGGAAGTATGCATATACAGTAAAGAGGAGCATAATTTTTACCACAAAATGACAACCTAAACTAGTCACAACATCTTTATGTATTAACAGAACATGCTTGTTCTATCGTTACCTGTTGGTCTCAGGTTGGGTGTGTCGGTATCTGTTGTACAAGCCAGCGCAAACAAATTTGTGTACTTGTATGCAATATAATTGCAGCACTAAAGCACAAGATACACTAGATCAGCCATACTCATGCAACATGAATAGGAATCATGCTATCACATTTCAGACTGAAGAAATGTTACCTCCAATCCTCAGCTACAATGACAGCCTGTGCTAAAAGACGGCCAGTTCAGAAAATGAAGTGAATAGGTGAAAAGGTTTTTAAATGGTGTTTCATGGGATCCCCTGTCAGATTATCTCTTGAAAGCCAATTTCTCCCAGCCACCCCTCCCCAAGATACAGCATTCTGGAGGTGATGGTAACTGAAAACTGCAGCTGCTGTGGACTCTTTTTCATGACGTCACTTGTAAATCAGGCAGGCTTCAGTTTCAATCCACTTGGTGTACCTCTGCATCTTTTCAAGGGAAGTGTCTCTTTGTATGATCTGGGGCAGGATGAGTCTCTCCTTCCCCAGAAGAAGAAATGCAGGCACCCAAAGTTGCACATTCACTCATATGAGCTGTAAGGAGAGCAAGCCTGGATGAATGAGGATTGAGATGGTGCGGAGAGCTATCCTTGTTAAAAATAGGGATGCCTCACCAAGGCAGTTTTTAGACCTCTACTGCTATCGGTTTTCATCTAGCTGAGCTAGATGAAAATGGGAAATGCCTTAAGCGATGCAGAAGAGTCAAGGGTTGAGAGAGCAGCTTTGCTCTGTGCATAAATACTTTGCACTTGTAATGCTTTGATATTAATCATTTTGAAGAACACCAAGAAATGTTATGGATTACTGATCTGACCAGATTTTAAAAATTATAAAACCAATACAGAGAATTGCCACCAGATGGATTCGTAACCAGCTGACCAAACACATTCAAAGTGTAGTCCTTAATGGAACTACATGAAGGGAAGTATGCAGTGGGGTATCCAAGGCTCTGTTTTAGTACTTTTCAATATCTTCATCAATGATTTAGATGAGGGGACAGAAAAGGAACTCATCAAATTTGCAGATAACACCAAACTGGCAGCAATAGCCAACACTCCAGAAGATAGGCTCAATATACAGAAGGATCTTGATAGATGTGGACACTGGGCACTATCTAACAAAATGAAATTCAATGGTGAGAAAAGTAAGGTTCTACATTTAGGCAAGAAAAACCAAATGCACAGGTATAGTATAGGTGGTACCTGGCTCAACAGTAGTAATTACGAGAGGGATCTTGAAGTCCTAGTGACAATCACTTAAATATGAGCCAACAGTGTTCTGCAGCTGCCAAAAAAGCCAATGCTGTCCTAGACTGCATTAACAAGGATAGAATCAAGACCATGTGAGGTGTTAGTACTACTTTATAATACCTTAGTAAGATCACTTACAATATTTCATCCAATTTTGGTACCTATAAAAAGATGTTGAGACTTTAGAAAGTGTGCAGAGAAAAGCAATGAAGATTAGGGGATTGAAGGCTAAAACATATGAAGAACGGTTGCAGGAATTGGCTATGTCTAGTCTAGTGAAAAGAAAGACTAGGGGTGACATAATAGCAGGGTTCTAATATAAGGGACTGCCACAAAAAAGAGGGAGTCAGGCTATTCTCCAAAGCATCTGCAGGCAGGACAAGAAGCAATGGTTGGAAATTCATCAAGGAGAAAAGCAACCTAGAACTAAGGAGACATTTCCTGACTGAACAATCAGTGGAACGACTTACCTTCAGAAGTTGTTGGTGCTCATACACTTGAGGTTTTTAAAAAGAGATTAGACAACC